ATTTTTCTTTTCGTTGTTTTGGAAAACATCGGTGTGTGCAAGAAAGAAAAATAAATTTTCTATTTTCTTCTTCCCCCACCCTAGACTGCGACCAGTCTCTCTTTTTCTTCAGATTTAGTAAGGGGAGTCCACACACGCGCGAGCTTTGAGTGGCTTTCGCCGCAAGATGCGAGAAACGAGGGCCTCTCCCGTCTTGCGCCTTCAGCCACGCGCGTAGTCATTTGCATGTCTCGGGCGTTTTGCTCGACGGACCAAGAAAAATGGGAGACTGCTTGTAGACTACCCCCACCCCTACCCCTTTGTGCTGGCAGTCAATAAATCCCCCACAGTTTATTTTTTATTATGGGTGCTCGACATACTTTGAAGAGAAAATAGAGGGTCTGTGAACAGGCTATTTGGATACATGATCCGAAGCATTTCTTTACTATGGATCCAAAAAGAGTGAATATTGCCAGCGGTAACTTGCAACAATTTTAATACATAGATCAGCTTCTTGACAAGACTGCTTATCATAGATTAAATGAGCCAGCAATGTTGGGAGTTGTTGCATCAGTGTTGGCAGCTGTGTGCAAACGGATGCAACAACTCCCAACAATATTGGGACTTGCAGTGCATTGTGAGAAGGGTACAACCAATAAGACATTGTAAACTCAAAGAGGACCATGTGTAATAAGTGTGTGTGGCCCCCAAAATGTTAGAAGAGCCGTGCAAACAGATCTAACTTTGCGCAACTACTCCCAATAACATGCAACAGGGTGTGCAAATGGGGGCAACTTGTGCACTAACACATCCAATAATGTTAGGAGCTGTTGGCTAACAATGTTGCATCCATTTGCGTGGGGCATCAAAGCTTGTATGTTTTGTTCAACTGCCTCAAATAGTTTGTTCATGCCTCGCAATGTTTGCCTTGCTGGCTCAAATATTGTATACACTCTTTTATAATTATGCAACTTACATTGTTACATATCTTTGGTATTTTGCACCTCAAATTAATCTGATATGTCAGTTTTAACGTGTTAAAAATGCTAGGGCTTGGGTATCATTAACTCATAACCAGCTATAATTATATTAATTGCGTGTTTCGATTCACTTTCTTCAGAGTATAGGATACATGTAGGCTTGATTTCTGCCACTCTCTTGGTCCTTCCCGCGAAGAGACGGCTGGACATCTAATAATAATCCATACCTAAATATTAGCCTAACATTAAAATGCTCGATGCTGAACGGGCAAGAAAATCAGCCTTTCCTTGGCGTTAGCGTATTCCCTTTGCCGTTGTTAGGTACAATAACAACAGTGTTCTAAATAAAATGAATCATGTAGAAAAAAAGGTTGGTTTTTTGTAGCAGTACAAACATTTTCAAGCCGTTTATCAAAAATAGTCTGGGTTCGTGTAAGCCACCTCGGCAATTCTAATTTTTCAGTTTTGTATTAATTAAAAGTGAAAAAGGAAATATTTCAGCCTGCCATAATTTTTTTTATTCACATTATTACCCCTAGTAGCTTAAAATTGCAAATTTCTCTCTCATTACAGCTAATTTTGAAGTCGTTGCCAAGATAGAGCACCAGGGAATTGACCTCCAAACCCCCTCATAGATGGTCGCGCACATCATATACTAACCAAAATCTCCAAACCTTACGTTTTTCTCTTTTTTCTCTTTTCTTTATTTCGTTTGAGAAGTCGTCTCCAAAGTAGAAAAGGGATGAAAAGGGTAAGAATGAGCGGTTAAATTGAATACGAAGTCTGTTAACCAAAACGGCGGGACGTATGAAGATAAACCAAAAATGTCACAAATAGAGGTGTAAATGTCCAGTTTATAACTAATAATAAACAAGCTTTCAACACAGTCCCAGTATTTAAAAATTATTATTCCTCGAGCCCGAATGGGCTCTGAGTCAATAGCCCATGAGGCCGAAGGCCAAATGGGCTATTGAATCAGAGGCCATGAGGGCGAGAGGAATAATTGTTTTAGTAAAATCCAACTAGTTGGTAAAAAATATCGAGACAAAACAACTTTAGCTAGTTAAAGCTAGACTTTAAGCCTTTTTTGCCGCCAAAAAGCTGGCGCTTTGCCCTACTAGTGGGCTGTAACATACAGCCTAGTAGCAGCTCAACCAATCAGAACGCAGCATTGATAATAGACCACTAGTTGGATTTTACTAAAACATATTATACCTTTTCAAAGGTAAAACAAACAAGGGAAACACGGGTAATAAAATTAAACTCGAGGATAAACAGAGATACCGGGGACGAAATCTTTTAAGGCTGTTGTTTTGTTGACACTATAGACAGTAATCAAAATAATTTGATCACGCGATTATCGTAAATGGTATTAACCATTAGGATAATGAATGTCGGGCAATTCAAGCCTGTGATATATATGGAGAGAGGGGAGAGGAGTACTCAAAAAAGGTTTATACGGAGAGGCTCCACCCGGAGGTCCAATCCCTTACCCTTTTTTATTATATACTGGAAAATATACCACTAATAAAATTCATAAAAACTACATCCGGGATCCGAATGGTTTATTTTCCATTCACACGTGAGTTTATCGATGACGTAATTTCGGTAATTTCCCTCCAAAATTTGTAGGCGTCTTGCGTCCTTATGAATTTCAATTACACATTTTTCAAAGCTTTACTTATATTTTGTCATTGTAGAGCCCTTTTCAGCTCAGTGTTATTTCTCAAGATTATTGTAAACAATGTCTTGTATTGCTGTACTGTAAATTTGAGTCGTGACAATTACTTTTAGGCGAATAATCTATTACTTTATCGATGTCTTTTTGTCTATATAATAAAAAGAACATTACACGGCGGCTTGAAGATATGAATTTTATTTTCTCGTGGCAAAAACAATATTTTACTCACTCGCTGCGCTCGTTTGTAAAAAATTGTTTTGCCACTCGAAAATAAAGTCATATCTTCGTGCCACCGTGTAATATCCTCTATTTATGGCATATTTTGAACGTAAGGGTTGCGTACAGCGAAACCTCTGGTTAAACTGTGTATCATTTTAAGAACGTTTTCAAAAGACATCGTATGGTTCGGTGTCAAGTGCTTTTAATCGGAGGAGACATTGGCCAGCGTCGGACGTGTAAATGGAAAATTTTTTTTACTGGCGCGAGTTACAGGGCGCAGTTTCTCAAAGGCCGATTAGTTCTTAACCCGGGATTCTTTTTCTTTCTTCAAAAAAATTTCTTCGGATAATTTTCTCTGTTATTTTTAACAGCATCCAATCATCAACTTGTGGACAAAATGAATTACATTGAATTTACTGGTTTAAAAGCTTTCACATCTGAATTCAAACTTCGCACTAACCCTATCAAAGCCTTCAATGGAACGTGTGTGCGGCTCACGTCAATAACTTTTCCAGTAATTGGTCGAACGTGTTGATTTCAGTGACACGAGAGTGGCGCTACTGTGGGCTGATTTATACGTTTTTCCTCATAAATAACATGGAGTTAAAGTGTTCGTTTGTCCGGTGCCGAAAATATCACAAGTCATGATCAAATGGCGCCGCCGAGCTTCACATCTCGGTAGATTTACCTTGTGGCACAACGGCTGCCGAGCTACACAACTCGTAAATTTACTTTGTGACAAAACGGCCGCCGAGCTACACAACTCGGTAAATTTACTTTGTGGCATAACGGCCGCCGAACTAGACCCGGTTTGATGCATGCACCAGTAGTCGCAAACATTTTCCAAAGACAGTGACGAACCATGCTGAAAAATATGAAGGCTTAATCCAAAGTAAAAATTTAACAGCAAACTCCTGAAAGATGAACGCTTTGGACGATTCAACAATCACAGATCGATGTACGCTTTACGAAGATTCAGCAAACTTTTTAAAAGATGAACGCTTTACGAAGAATATCAGACCTTAGTAAACCTTTGAAAGATGAACGCCGAGGACACAACAATCACCACATGAGTCAGCGCGTCAAAGTGAGGCAAAACTTAAGCAAGCGCCTCAAACCGAGGCAAATGTGTGTCGACGACGTACAAAAAAACCTCCCTTATTAATTGCACAGGTCATCCAATAATGCACAGTACACCCAACACAAATTAGGGGTTGCGTTCTCGTACCTCGAACGCAATAAATCAAAAAAGTAGAACGCTATCGTCGACTTTGTCACAGCCATAAAATACATCTGTTAGCTTTTTTGGGTCTTTCTACCAACCGAAATGACAGATTTCCCTACCCATTCATAAACTTCAACTAGTGAAATCCCTACCCTTTCTTTCGTATACCTGAAGCCTGAGAATGTACTCCTTTAGGGATGTACCTTCCCGTTTTATGTCATTATAGGGAATACCCTCCCCCCACCCCCTGGGGATATGGGCCGTTGTCATGAGCCAGTATTATTAGGGTAACTGCTCTGGAAAGGCATCAGAAAATTTCAAATCAAAGAGACCAAAGAAGCTTCTGCTTCAGATAGAAAAATGCCAACAGGCTATCCCCTCATTGAGACTACATCATCTAGAGGTAAAAAGGGGTCAAAATGAACGATAATTAAAAGGAAACACAACCCAGTTAGTTGCTCATTTAAACATTTTATTGTTCCTGTACTATATACGGACCTATAATAACTTCCATTAACTTATATTCCAAAGGTTTACTATCCTAAAAACTTATACTATACTATATATAGAACTTTGGATAAAAACTGATAACTGATCTGATATACATTTTAACTAAAGTGTAAAATATTTCTTTTAATCGGTACTTGACGCATTGGAACATGTTTGTCTGATGATTAAAAACCACTGAATTAAAAAATTGAAAATTAAGCGAAAATCTAAACTAAAGATATCACAATAAAATTATCATAACGCATCACTAGGTTTAACAGACTATGCCGAGGTTGCACTTTAAAATTATAACTTTAATAAGAAATGTAATAAATATTTCAAAAAATAATGTAGGGAGTGATTCCGTACAATCTGCCAAGTGAACGTGGTTCATTCAATCGAGACGTCGATTGAATTCTGTGTTACCACTTGCTTCTTGTTTTGCTTCGTCTTGTAAGAACGCTTGGTCACGTGACACTTCTATAATTAGCACGCCGTTACTGCAGAGGCGTGACGTCAATGAACTGACGTCTGCGTCATCGGGCAGCAAAATGCGACGCCTGTAATCACGTGAACCATCTTCCTCCGATCTGTGTTCTGCTATGACCATGAGTTCATGTCCTCGAATCTGGATCTTGATTTCTTCTGGTTTAAATCCACGCAGATTCAATTTAGCAACGAACTTGTCATCGTTTGGTTTTATTTTCTTTTCAACGCGTTTGATGCCACTGAGGACTAGAACGCTACCATTTCTGGTTACATGTGATGTCACTGTTGTGGGATCTACGTCTTGCGGGAGCTTAATGGTTTTCATGAACTCACTATTCTCAAATCCATCTTCTCCTTCGGATCGATGCTGGCCGTGTAACGTTATATTTTCGTCGTCAACATCGAGTGAAATTTCTTCTGGTTTGTACTGGTTCAGTGGCAGCCAAGCAATTATGACTGGGCCCGATTAGATGGTCGCGCACATCATATACTAACCAAAATCTCCAAACCTTACGTTTTTCTCTTTTTTCTCTTTTCTTTATTTCGTTTGAGAAGTCGTCTCCAAAGTAGAAAAGGGATGAAAAGGGTAAGAATGAGCGGTTAAATTGAATACGAAGTCTGTTAACCAAAACGGCGGGACGTATGAAGATAAACCAAAAATGTCACAAATAGAGGTGTAAATGTCCAGTTTATAACTAATAATAAACAAGCTTTCAACACAGTCCCAGTATTTAAAAATTATTATTCCTCGAGCCCGAATGGGCTCTGAGTCAATAGCCCATGAGGCCGAAGGCCAAATGGGCTATTGAATCAGAGGCCATGAGGGCGAGAGGAATAATTGTTTTAGTAAAATCCAACTAGTTGGTAAAAAATATCGAGACAAAACAACTTTAGCTAGTTAAAGCTAGACTTTAAGCCTTTTTTGCCGCCAAAAAGCTGGCGCTTTGCCCTACTAGTGGGCTGTAACATACAGCCTAGTAGCAGCTCAACCAATCAGAACGCAGCATTGATAATAGACCACTAGTTGGATTTTACTAAAACATATTATACCTTTTCAAAGGTAAAACAAACAAGGGAAACACGGGTAATAAAATTAAACTCGAGGATAAACAGAGATACCGGGGACGAAATCTTTTAAGGCTGTTGTTTTGTTGACACTATAGACAGTAATCAAAATAATTTGATCACGCGATTATCGTAAATGGTATTAACCATTAGGATAATGAATATCGGGCAATTCAAGCCTGTGATATATATGGAGAGAGGGGAGAGGAGTACTCAAAAAAGGTTTATACGGAGAGGCTCCACCCGGAGGTCCAATCCCTTACCCTTTTTTATTATATACTGGAAAATATACCACTAATAAAATTCATAAAAACTACATCCGGGATCCGAATGGTTTATTTTCCATTCACACGTGAGTTTATCGATGACGTAATTTCGGTAATTTCCCTCCAAAATTTGTAGGCGTCTTGCGTCCTTATGAATTTCAATTACACATTTTTCAAAGCTTTACTTATATTTTGTCATTGTAGAGCCCTTTTCAGCTCAGTGTTATTTCTCAAGATTATTGTAAACAATGTCTTGTATTGCTGTACTGTAAATTTGAGTCGTGACAATTACTTTTAGGCGAATAATCTATTACTTTATCGATGTCTTTTTGTCTATATAATAAAAAGAACATTACACGGCGGCTTGAAGATATGAATTTTATTTTCTCGTGGCAAAAACAATATTTTACTCACTCGCTGCGCTCGTTTGTAAAAAATTGTTTTGCCACTCGAAAATAAAGTCATATCTTCGTGCCACCGTGTAATATCCTCTATTTATGGCATATTTTGAACGTAAGGGTTGCGTACAGCGAAACCTCTGGTTAAACTGTGTATCATTTTAAGAACGTTTTCAAAAGACATCGTATGGTTCGGTGTCAAGTGCTTTTAATCGGAGGAGACATTGGCCAGCGTCGGACGTGTAAATGGAAAATTTTTTTTACTGGCGCGAGTTACAGGGCGCAGTTTCTCAAAGGCCGATTAGTTCTTAACCCGGGATTCTTTTTCTTTCTTCAAAAAAATTTCTTCGGATAATTTTCTCTGTTATTTTTAACAGCATCCAATCATCAACTTGTGGACAAAATGAATTACATTGAATTTACTGGTTTAAAAGCTTTCACATCTGAATTCAAACTTCGCACTAACCCTATCAAAGCCTTCAATGGAACGTGTGTGCGGCTCACGTCAATAACTTTTCCAGTAATTGGTCGAACGTGTTGATTTCAGTGACACGAGAGTGGCGCTACTGTGGGCTGATTTATACGTTTTTCCTCATAAATAACATGGAGTTAAAGTGTTCGTTTGTCCGGTGCCGAAAATATCACAAGTCATGATCAAATGGCGCCGCCGAGCTTCACATCTCGGTAGATTTACCTTGTGGCACAACGGCTGCCGAGCTACACAACTCGTAAATTTACTTTGTGACAAAACGGCCGCCGAGCTACACAACTCGGTAAATTTACTTTGTGGCATAACGGCCGCCGAACTAGACCCGGTTTGATGCATGCACCAGTAGTCGCAAACATTTTCCAAAGACAGTGACGAACCATGCTGAAAAATATGAAGGCTTAATCCAAAGTAAAAATTTAACAGCAAACTCCTGAAAGATGAACGCTTTGGACGATTCAACAATCACAGATCGATGTACGCTTTACGAAGATTCAGCAAACTTTTTAAAAGATGAACGCTTTACGAAGAATATCAGACCTTAGTAAACCTTTGAAAGATGAACGCCGAGGACACAACAATCACCACATGAGTCAGCGCGTCAAAGTGAGGCAAAACTTAAGCAAGCGCCTCAAACCGAGGCAAATGTGTGTCGACGACGTACAAAAAAACCTCCCTTATTAATTGCACAGGTCATCCAATAATGCACAGTACACCCAACACAAATTAGGGGTTGCGTTCTCGTACCTCGAACGCAATAAATCAAAAAAGTAGAACGCTATCGTCGACTTTGTCACAGCCATAAAATACATCTGTTAGCTTTTTTGGGTCTTTCTACCAACCGAAATGACAGATTTCCCTACCCATTCATAAACTTCAACTAGTGAAATCCCTACCCTTTCTTTCGTATACCTGAAGCCTGAGAATGTACTCCTTTAGGGATGTACCTTCCCGTTTTATGTCATTATAGGGAATACCCTCCCCCCACCCCCTGGGGATATGGGCCGTTGTCATGAGCCAGTATTATTAGGGTAACTGCTCTGGAAAGGCATCAGAAAATTTCAAATCAAAGAGACCAAAGAAGCTTCTGCTTCAGATAGAAAAATGCCAACAGGCTATCCCCTCATTGAGACTACATCATCTAGAGGTAAAAAGGGGTCAAAATGAACGATAATTAAAAGGAAACACAACCCAGTTAGTTGCTCATTTAAACATTTTATTGTTCCTGTACTATATACGGACCTATAATAACTTCCATTAACTTATATTCCAAAGGTTTACTATCCTAAAAACTTATACTATACTATATATAGAACTTTGGATAAAAACTGATAACTGATCTGATATACATTTTAACTAAAGTGTAAAATATTTCTTTTAATCGGTACTTGACGCATTGGAACATGTTTGTCTGATGATTAAAAACCACTGAATTAAAAAATTGAAAATTAAGCGAAAATCTAAACTAAAGATATCACAATAAAATTATCATAACGCATCACTAGGTTTAACAGACTATGCCGAGGTTGCACTTTAAAATTATAACTTTAATAAGAAATGTAATAAATATTTCAAAAAATAATGTAGGGAGTGATTCCGTACAATCTGCCAAGTGAACGTGGTTCATTCAATCGAGACGTCGATTGAATTCTGTGTTACCACTTGCTTCTTGTTTTGCTTCGTCTTGTAAGAACGCTTGGTCACGTGACACTTCTATAATTAGCACGCCGTTACTGCAGAGGCGTGACGTCAATGAACTGACGTCTGCGTCATCGGGCAGCAAAATGCGACGCCTGTAATCACGTGAACCATCTTCCTCCGATCTGTGTTCTGCTATGACCATGAGTTCATGTCCTCGAATCTGGATCTTGATTTCTTCTGGTTTAAATCCACGCAGATTCAATTTAGCAACGAACTTGTCATCGTTTGGTTTTATTTTCTTTTCAACGCGTTTGATGCCACTGAGGACTAGAACGCTACCATTTCTGGTTACATGTGATGTCACTGTTGTGGGATCTACGTCTTGCGGGAGCTTAATGGTTTTCATGAACTCACTATTCTCAAATCCATCTTCTCCTTCGGATCGATGCTGGCCGTGTAACGTTATATTTTCGTCGTCAACATCGAGTGAAATTTCTTCTGGTTTGTACTGGTTCAGTGGCAGCCAAGCAATTATGACTGGGCCCGAATATGTCTTCATTAGTTTCTTCTGCCGAGCCTGTTCCTCGCAGAAGAGAGCTGCGTTCCTCCATAAATCTTGCAAAAACCCATAACCTGGGACAACTTGATTGAAGTAGCTGTTGTAGCTGAAATTAAAACAAAAGAAAATTGTTATTTTGCCTGAAGTTGGTGAGACTAACTGGACCAAAACAACCCAGTTGTCTTAAAAATTTGCAAGTCGGATTTTCTTTACAGTGTAAATCAAAATGTTTCCGTGAAATTTTGAATTGCCGAATTTAAACGCCTGTCTGACTGACGCTGGCAGAACAGAACATTGGGTTTGTCGCGTTTGCAAATCAGTGGTGATGATACATATGTAATGTTAAATTTGTTTTGCTTTAAGCATTAACGAATAAAGTTGGAAAATGTCTGAATGTCCATCCAGTTCCTAAATCGCCTAACTGAGCTCATCAGGCTGGTCCTATTTCCCTGACCCTAGCGAGGAAATTGGGCGAAATTGCAAGGTTTTCAGTGTAAGCTAAGGCAAGGGATTCTAGGACCGAATCATAATCATAACCATGATAATTAATATCATGATCTCTGATCATAATCAACTTTAGTTACAGAGCGTGACAACAGCCAGTTAAAAACTGAAAACTTGTGGCCCTCAAAGATGTCAATGAACTAACCAAAAGATATGCGCATAACGTGGAAAAAAAAAAAACAAACGTACAATCAGTCAAGTGTGGATTAGGTCATAAGAAAAAGTAAACGAATCAGAGCGGTCCGGGGCGTTACTTGTCTGGCAGGTCGGTACTCTCTATAGTGACCATTTTTTCGGATAGAAATTTTTCGAAAGGTAATTCGCAAGGAGGAATTTCATTAGCTTTCTATAAAACAGCTGTGCACTGAAAAGCTGGATTTAGGCCAAACAAGGGAAGAACACTAGGGCATTTCGCTGCATTTCCCCCGCCATACTCCCCTCCCCCCCCCCCCCCCCCCCCCCCCCCCCCCCCCCCCCCCCCCCCCCCCCCCCCGGCGAAAAAAAAACAAACCAAAAAAAAAACAAAAACACACATCCCCTCGCACCAACACGCCCTTGTAGAAGACCTCCCTACTCCCCTCTCCATTATCCAGCGAGGAGAAAAGAGAAGTCGCTCGGA